ATCTTCTTCATCTATGTAAATGCAGCTTCAGTATTCACTGATTATTAAAATACTGAGTCTTTCTTAGTAAGATCTGTAAGTGATCTCACAATATCTGAGAAGTTTTGTATAAATTGCTGATAGAAGTTAGTAAATTCAATGAAGCTTTATACATCTTTCACAGTATATAGAGCTTCTTATTCAAGAATAGTAAAGACTTTCTCAGAATTCATTCAAATTCTCTTATCAGCTTCTATTATAAAACTCAGATACTTGATACTCTTAACTTCAAAATTATACTTATTAATATCTATTAGTAGTTCTGCTTCTTATAGTTATTATAATATCTTTTACACATGTTCTTAATATTCTTTTCTGAATTTATCAGTGAAGATGAGAATGTTATCTAGATAAGCAGATACAAACTTATCAAGAAAATCTCAGAGTGCTCAGTTGATATACTTCTGAAATATACTGAAGATATTAATCAGTTCAAAGAGTGTGACTATTCATTCAAAGAGATTATAACATGTTCAGAATGCTGTAAGTTATTCATCTTCTTCAGTGATACAAATCTTATGAAATGTGATGATGATATCTAGTTTTATAAATTATTAAGCTCACTCAATTCATGCTAGAATTTTATTGATAAGAGATAAGAGATATCAATCTTTCTTTGTCAATCTGTTCAGATCTCAGTAGTTTACACAGAATCAGAGTTCTTCACCTGATTTCTTTATAAAGAGAATAGAGGCTGCAGTGAAAGAGTTGCTAATATATATAAATTCTTTATTCAACAGATCATTAAGTATCTTTCAAAGAAGAAGAAGTTCATCTCAGAATATATTATAAAGAGAGTCTTATAACAGTTCAGAGTTCTTATCATTCTTTTTCTCTAACTTAATACTGTGATTCACTTCAGAATCTTATAAGAGAAGTATATTTATAATATTATCTTATCAGAAAACATCTAGATATTTATAATATTATTAAGAGAGTTTCATATAAGAATCTATTATTATAATACAGAATAACTTTTCTAGAGTCTTTTTAATATCAGTCAGACTGATAGAATAGATTGATATATAATCTTACTATCAGTGACTCTGTCAGTGATTTTAATGATGACTTCTTTTTCAGAGTATTTTATATGTGTTGACAGAGATCTGTGTCAGATTCATGATCTTATGAATATTATCTTTATGAACTCTATCATTATTAGAGAATATCAAGCTTCTGTTTCAAGTATTTAATAAGATATCTTATTTAGATAGTCAGATAAGTTCTAATATAAGATTATAATCAAGATTATTAACTTCATATATATAGACATTTTCATATTAATGTTCTTCTATATCTATGATCAGCTTCATCATGTAACAGGTATAAATATCTTTTAAATTATCAAATTCTGTGAGAAGTCAGAGTTTTGATAGAGAAATACACTGAAGATTATAATGTCTTATAACTGAAGATTTTATCATTATATAGTAGTATAGATCACTGTCTATCATAATCTTTATATTATATATATTATTAATCACAGTGAATATAAGAATTACATTCATTATTATCTTCTCTTTAAATCATTGTCATCTGACCTCTTCAAGCTTCTGTTTACAAATTTGAACAGAAGCTAATTTTTTCTCTGTTTCACTGAAACATTCTTATAGTTATTCTCTGAATCTTTCTCTAATGCAATGTGATTGATACAGACAGACACTGATCTCTTCTTCAAATAAGAAGACACTGATTCTTCTCTTAAATATGAAAATATATAGATTAATTAGTAGTTAAAAGCAATGTGTTCTGATCAGTTATAGTTGATACACACTCTATATTAACATCAATCAGCAACTTCTTCAGAAGTGATCTCAGAAACTCAGAAGTCTGTTCAGACAGTAGAGACTCTTGCTTATATATAGATATTCAAGTCTACTCAATTCATGACATCTGCATTATTATTATTTCTCAGCACAGGTGTATAAGTTATTAAGATGTAATATCTTCTGTCACTGTTCTGTATATTCTTGAGCTTGATAAGACAGTTATTCATTATTCAGAGCTGTATGTAGAAGTCTTTATAAGTTAAGTCTTTATCTACACTTATAAGAGTCTGTAAGAGTTTAAAAGTTAATGTCTTCTTAAGTATGCTAATCTTTATTCAATTCTCTCAAGACTAATCACCTGCTTTTAGAATCTTAGTATTAAAGTCAGAGATAAATATTATAAGAGAAGTGTTTCTCTGTCAGATACTCTGTAATCAATCTAATACTTTCTGTTATATAATAGTGTCTTAGAACAGAATATCAAAATATTTCATAATATTATCAGATATTTATAACACTGATTTATATGCTTTTATTCATGAATGAAACTTCTGTTTCACATAATCTTTCAATTATTTATTAATATATCAATCTTGATTGATTAATAAACTGATGATATCTTTATCTATACTCAGTTTTACAAGTATCTTCATTCTTTATAATAAGTAGAGAGTGAGATTAGAAGTATTAAAATATATAGAAGTATCTAAGCATTCTTTCAGCACTTTTGTATTCAATTTTATAGATGTTGAGATTATATGAGTTTCTTGTTATAATAATCATTGAATCTCTTTATATTGACATTATTAAGTTGTATACATATCAGCTATTTATTGTTATTATAGTTTTAATATTACTTAGAGTCACTGTGATACTATATCTATACTTATATTCAAGAGTTCTATATTATCATTAGACATGATTATATTGATTATCAGATGTATAATATCTATGAAATCTGAAGAAGTGTAATTATATTCTTATACATCTAAGTATTAGAACTCTCAGGTCTTTTACTGATATTCTCTTATAAGATTTTATTCTCTTCATAAGATTTTATTACAGAGTCAGAGTGACTGATGAGTAAGCTTCTATCTGAGAACTCAGTGTTCACTTAACTATATGACTATTTCTCTATTTCTTATATGTTGTTACATGTTTAAATATCTCTTAATAAATAATCATTTCTAATAAGAAGACAATGAACATTTTTATAGTGTAGAGAGCCTGCACTGAATAGATCAGTATAATAGATAGATCTTATATAACAAAGATAAAAACATTAGAGAAGAAAAGAAAGAGAAAGTGTGAGAATCAGCAATCAAGATGGATATTTATACGCGTATGTAGTGGTGTATGTGGTGGAGCTTCGGGGTGGAAGAATATACACACATTCGTAGCGGCTGAGAATCAGTGATCAGGAATGACTGAGAATCGGAGCGTATGCTACGCGCGTTCATAGCGGCCGCGGATCGGCGATCGGGAATGGAAGAATCTATGAAGTGTAATGAAATAGTCTATATAATTGATCGGGCGCAGCCCGCCACATAAGAAGATATTTTACAGAATTTTAAAATATATCAAGATAAAAATATTATTAAATTGATTTTGAATTGATTTTAAATTGATTTTAAATTGATTCTGAATTGATTATAGTAATAAAAATAGATTTAATCTATATATTTAAGTAATTAATAATTGATTGAAAATCAGTTGATAATCAATTCAGTATGTGGCGGGCTGCGCCCGATCAATTATATAGACTATTCCGTTACACTTCACAGATTCCAACCACTTCATTCTTGAATGCGTACGCTCCGATTCTCGGCCATTCTCAATCACCAATCCTCGGCCGCTATGAACGCGTGTATATTCTTCCACCCTGAAGCTCCACCGCGTACACCATCACATACATGTATAAATATCTATCTTAATCACTAATTCTCACACTTTCTCTTTCTTTCCTTCTTTAACATTTTTCTCTTTGTTAAATAAGATCTATTAATATAATACTGATCTATTCAGTGTAGATCTCTTACACTATAAAAACATTCATCATCTTCTTATTAGAAAATGATTATTCACACATTGTCTCATTAGAAACAATTATTCATCAAGAGATATTCAAATGTGTAATAACATGTAAGAAAGAGAAAAACACAGTTAAGCAGATACTGAGTTCTCAGATAGAAGCTTACTCATCAGTCACTCTGACTCTGCAATAAAGATTTTATAAGAGAATGTTAGTAAAAGATCTGAGAGTTCTGACACTCAGATATATGAGAATATGATTACACTTCTTCAGATTTCACAGATATCATACATTCAACAATTGATATAATCATGTTAAACAATAATATGAAACTCTTAAACATGAGCATAGATGCAATGTCACAGTGACTCTGAGCAATGTTGAAATTACAACAACAACAGATAGCAGACATGCACATGACTCAATAACTTCAATATGAAGAGATTCAATGATTAATTCATGCAATTTCAATATTCACAGAATTGAATATAAAAGTGCTGAAAGAATACTTAAATACTTCTACATATTTTCATTCTTCATGATGAGTAGAAAGTGAGGTCAGAAGTATTAAAATATGCAGAAGCATCTAAGTATTCTTTCAGTGCTTTTGTATTCAATTCTGTGAATGTTGAAATTATATGAGTTAATCATTGAATCTCTTCATATTGAAGTTGTTAAGTTGCATGCATGTCTGCTATCTGTTACTGTTATAATTTCAACATTGCTCAGAGCCACTGTGGCATCGCATCTATGCTCGCGTTCAAGGGTTTCATATTATTATAAGACCTATAATATTATACCGATCTATTCAGCGTAGGCTTCTTACACAGTATTATTATTAAATTCAAGAATAATTTCAGTATTAAATTAATTTTGAATTGATTTTGAATTGATTCTGAATTAATTGTTAATTAATTATAGTAATAAAATAAATTCAATCTGTATATTTAAGTAATTAACAATTGATTTTGAATTGATTGTAGAATTGATGATAAATAATTAAGTGGTTTCAAATTACAAGAAAAGATGTATTGAGCGAGGTCAGGTAGTGGCACGGGCCACATTTGCGAGGTCAGCTTACATAACAAGGTCAAGTGGCGCACTTAGCGAGGTCAAGTTTTCTGCTTCCTGTTTGGTGTGGTGCACTCACTAACTAGAGGTGATGAGTAAGCAGCGGCACAATTAGTTCTCACCACCATCCTCTTGGCTTCGTTTGTCCTTCCTTCCCTTGGTCTTTGACCATAGCAGAGACCATCAAAGGATACTAGAAGAATCATCTATGCTGTCTCTTAGTAGTCCTTTTCGCTGGCACATATGGTCGTCGCTCTGGGGTTTTATCTCTAAATTCATTAGGAGCATTTATCTACCCCGTTACCGCGGCGCGACAGCAACACCAACTCTCAACGACGATGCTGAACTTGGACGTACAAAAGCACAATTCCAGCACGTCAGTGAGCTAATAATGCTACAACTGCCGCCTACTGACTTGATTATGTAGAATGCCAAATCGCCCGAAGAGTCAAACTATGTCGTTGCTGACCGCCCAACCGTCGAACAGTCTGGCAATGAGATAATCTTGCACGTGAAGCAGCCGCCGAAATGTATATCAATTGGGTTTTCCGGAATCATCTGTGAAATCGACGAAGATACCATTGTGAAACACCCGAAGGTCATTCCGAATAATGATCCATACAATCAGATGTACCGCGATATGATCATTAACGAACGACTGGTCTACGAGCGTCTGGGGAGTCATAAAGGGATTATTTCATACTTGGGCGTCCACGACGAAGTAACCGGTGCGATAAGGTTGGCATATGCAAAGGAAGGAGATCTGGAATGCTATATTCAAAGCCATGACAAGCCATCAGAAACAATTCGCGCCACCTGGATTCAATTGCTAGTGGAGACTTTCTGGTATATCTACTCTCAAAAAGTTCTCCATCAAGATGTCAAGCCCAACAATATACTTGTTGAGAATGGCACTTTGAAGGTTGTTGATTTTGCCAACGCCACAATGCATGCATTGGATGCTGATATGGAAGAGGTCTGCGCGAAAGATCCATTGTCACGAGCTGATATACTTAGTCTTGGGTGTATTATTTATTCTATTGCAGCATGGCGGGTCTTCTACTATGATTATTTTGAACATGATTGCTGGCCCGAGCCAGAGAATCTCCCTGCAACAAGCGGCCTAGTTTACGATGATATCATCAACAAATGCTGGACAGATAGCTATGGCACTATAAAATCGCTGTATGAAGACTGCAATGCTTTTTCTGGCATGAAGTGGTGAGAGGGGAGGACGAATCAATGTTGCTCAACAGTTGTTGAGGATTTGCTGGCTACAGGTTGTTTACATCATGTAGAAATAAGGTGCTTCCGATGTTATACTATTATCTTCTCAGTGGGCCCAGCTTTTATCTCAAGAATTCATTTTAGCTTTGCCCACGTTCACAATCACCGAACAAAACGTCTTCTACTATCATTCGAATCCATAAATGTTGCCAGAAAGTTTCTATGCTACAAGGCTATATCCCGCAAGACACTAATACACTTCCTGAACTATTACCCTTCTGATTTTAACTTCTCACTCCTCCCAGTTGTAATTGCCACGAGCCTAATTCTAGAATTAGTGTCATTAATAAATAAAACCTAACACTCAAGTTAGACTTACAAACTAGGCACCCACAGTAACGCCTTGGGGTTGAGCAACGGATGCGGAGCTCGAGCCTCCAGCTCCTGTTCCGTCACCATCCTTTGGTCTAGTAGGAGGCTTTTTGTTGCAGCAATTAGGGCAGACGTTTCGTTGTGCGTAACCACGGCTTTAAGCCTTGGTGGTAGTTGGTTCTGGATTTGGACATGGTGAACCTCTCTCAGTTGCGGGATCACACACACCAGTGGAGAATGGTGTTTCCTTCCGGCGCGGTGTGCCCACAGCTAGCTCCAAGTGTATGTATTTGGCGTCTCTTTCATGCACATTTTCGCCGAGTTTTATGCGGCCTTTATTGACGCGTGAGTACGGAGTAGTTATAACAATATGCATGTGCATCTAGAGATATACCGTGTGTGAGAGCAGCCTGAATGGAAATGAGTTTCCATACGAGAGAATGGATACAATTGAAGATGGTTCTTTGGGGCTATTTATGTGCATTTCTCAATAGTGAGTATTGCCTCGAGCTGCCGCCAAGCACCTTTAAAAAGCAACCATTCACACGTACCTGATGCGTTGGGACGGCTTTTCAGCCTCGGGAATGCCTGTCGATGCACAGAAAGCAAGACGAATGATTAATGATCGATCCCCCACCGGACGCCTGGCATTTCTATCTACTCCGTACTGTACTATGTGCCGGATGGAAGAACAACTAACCACGTGTTGTATCTTTGGAAAGAGAGAAATGAAAAAGAACCAAATAGGCCGACTGCTTGCAAGAGCTTGATATGATATGGCTCTCATTTGCTGTGTGAGACCACAAAATGTCCCATGTGGGGCCTCGCCCCCAAAAGTTCTTTTTTTTGCCTATCCATTTTCAGATTTTTTTGATGCTCAGTTTAGTTAGTTAACTGGGATCTTCAAATGCAATGCAAGGCAAGGCCAATCAACGGCCATCCCTTGTCCATCTTTCGTGGCACAATAGGTGATTTTAGTGGTTAAATAAGTGTAATTTTATATAAACGCTCGTATTGGTATAATTTATTAAACTAGCCCTAATTACTCCGTACATCTGCCATTGTCTCCAACAAACATGCGGATATCATGCAATGCATCCAGTACCACCAGGGTAATCTAGCATGCGAGTCTTTGGGGAGTCTCATCAAGTGGCCTCATGTTTCTCAAAAGGTGGTAAAGAAAAAGTGCACGTTTCATCCCCGGATTACTATAAGTCAATTACTTCTCATTAGATCAGAGACAAAATGAAGAAGAAAGACGCATTTTCTTGTATCTTTTTCCATTTGCATTTACCGCTCTCGTTCGTCGGCTATTTCATTTTATGTCCTCTACTGTTTCGTTTTTAACGTATTGCCGGGCATTAATAAGATATCGGGAATATCCATCACATCTTGTCGGCCACTTTCTATTGCGACAGGGCTCCATGCCTCGAATATATTTTGCGCTTCTGATAGTTATAGTTTACCTTTGTTGACCGCACCGCATTTCAGCAATGATGAATTTACATGTGATCCTGCGTAAGAGTTGACACAATGAGTATTTGGAGGGAATGATATTTGTCTTTTGTGCTGCCTGCTGATATCATATACATACATAACATATTGCGATTGCGATTCCCGTCTCTGCAATCCTGAGTCTTCTGCCATAAGCACAGCAGGTGATTCAAGCACTTGAATCAAAACAGATCAAAGCTTGATCCAGATGATTGATGAGGCTTGTTCTCCCCAGTCATCGGAAACACTGCCTACGGAAATTTCCCAACAGAGCACAACATCAGAAGGAAGAGGTCTGTTTTTGGCTCCGAGTGCCCTCTTGCTTCCTGAAGGGTCGGCGATGCCGGGGAGCTGTCATTACAGCGTATTAAAACAAAGCTGCCCATTTCAACTCCAGGGTTCACTTCGCTGTGGCGTCACTGGCGTTGGGACAAGAAGAAGTGTTGAATGAGGTTTCGATTGCAACTTGCGCCTCAAACGCGGAGCCGCACTTTATTCTCCACACCACACACAAATCACTCCAAAACCTCTCGCAAAAGAATCTCCCCTCATTATTATTATTGTTTAGTTATATAGCTTATTGTTCCTCCTCATCCGCCGCTCTTTTGCTCTCCTCATCGATCTGCCATCCATCACAGAGGGCAGATCCTGTACGATTTGACAGGACACTACGCATCTCATCCGGTCTCGCTTGATCAGGGCTCACCCAACCCACAGCGCGGGGTATCAAGAACGCCCAACCTGGCCTGGTAACTAGCCTGGTCATCTTTTTTTAGCGAACAAGCCGGCCACGGTGGCAGTGCCGATCGCCATCAACGTGCCAAACCGGCCGCAACCTAACTCCGCTAGTTTTTCACGTCCATCGTATTATCAGCCTACCAATTTAAGCACAGGCTCTCTGGCAGCAACTCGCGCAGGAGAAGCGTGGAAGGACCTCCACCGTCCAGAAGAATTCGCCAAACCATCGTCCAGCTCATTGGCTGATTGGGATGAAGTTCGTCCTTTAGTTACATCTAACATCTCGTATTCATTAGGCACACGCCAGAACACCGCCGCTTGGCGGCCTTTTTTCACAAAATGATGGAACAGCTGATTGAGCCCAACATCAGGCTCAGCCTCGCGTGTTGATTGCTCAGAGATGTCCAGAGAAAAATTCCAAGCTCGAATTGATGATTTACCAAGCATGGTTTTTAATGGGAACGCCTCGCACCATGCCTCCTTTTTTTGGTTTTTACGCATCACTTTTCTTCCCCATCTCTCTCCTTTCCATGACCATATCAGCATAGACAATCCAATCTCTGTTTTGCGCTCTTCATTGTTCGTCGCATAACACCATGCCTTCGTGGTCCCGCATAGCCGCTTTCGCGCTCCTCGCGCTCTCCGCTTCTTGCTCGGCTCTCGAGCTCGGCGAAGTGGTCTCAGACTTCTCCGATATCTTGGTCGGCGACCGCGACGTGATGGACAACGTGACGTTAGCCGACTCAGGAGACCTGATATCACTGGCAAAACGCGCCTGTCCAGCACGGTGCACACAGTACTGTTGCGTCTCCGACGGCACCTGTATCCCCTCGACGGCCTGGAGCTGCTGCGGTCGCGGTATCGTTTGCGGCCCCGGACGGAAATGCTGCCATAACGGCTGCATCAACGACAATGAAGAGTGTTGCCGGACCGCGGGTAGGCATTGTAGGGCTGGGTATGAGTGCTGGCTCATCAACGGCCGGCCTAGGTGCTGCCCTCGAGGCGTGTGCGGGAGTGGTGGTAGCGGCGGCGGCGGCGGCGGTTCTAGCAGAACTACACCCGCACCACCTAGCCCTCCACGGACAAGACCCAGTTTCGATTATTATACGTGGACAGTAACCTGGTAAGTTGACTTTCTCTACCTAACTCCTGGACCCGATGCATGTTGTAGCTAGCTAGCATACGATTGCTACATGCGCAACAAGGGAATTCGCGAATACAAAGAATATATATAACAATAACTAACATCTACCAGGACATACCGCGTCACATTCTACACGTCAGTTACAATCCGCACAACCACAACCACCACTACAACAAGCGTCGTCTCCTTCTATGCCTCAGACTCAGCCGACGCCTCATCTTCCTTCCGTGCATACACCGCCACGGCGACCTTCGACCCCCCCGCCAGCGCAACTGACGTCCCAGAACCACCGGGAGGCGGCAGAGGCGGCAGCGGTGGCGGCAATCTGGTCGCCCTTCCACCTGGCGAATCAGGGAGCAGCGGTATCTGGAGCTGGCACGCGGCGCTCCTTGCAGGCGCTGCTCTTGTTCCTGGAATCCTGGCGGTTTATCTGTAAGGGGTTAGTATCCAGGTCCTTGGACCGTTGAGATTCTAGTTTGACGCAAAAACATGATATCCATTTTTGTCTTCCTTTTGTAAACGTGTGGGGGTGATATGTCCTCCTAACCCCCTTATCTTCCCTCTTCTTGTTTCTTTCCTTCTTTGATGTTGTTTCCTTCAAGCCCGACTTTCCTGCAGTGAATATCATGGGTTTGCCTTCTTGCTTGTGTGACAAGTGGCTTGGAAATGACATCCTTCTTGATAAACGGTTAATGTCCTAAGTTAGAGTGTGAGGAATATATACGGATAAACATGCCTATGAGTATATAACGCCTTTATTTCATGTTTTGGTCTCTATTTCTTTGCGAGCTACGCTCCAGGACGGTGATGATTCTAGGCTAGTATAGATCCAACAACTAACTAATCTCATAATTGAAGTAATATCAACAACCCTTAGTATATAATCACTAACATAAAAATATTCATATAAGTATGCGTGCTGCTAGAGTGGGAGACAAAAGCTCCTCCAACCACGCTAAACCCTTCCTGGCCACCTCTTGTTCCCTTCCCAAAAGACATTTCGCAAAGCTCCAAAACCGCGTCCAACAGCTCGACCAGCTCGATTGACCCGCTCAACCAGCTCCTACAGCTCCCAGCACAGGCAGCCCACCATGCCGGCGTTCAAAGATGAACATATACTGGTATGCATTATACCTATATAACCCTGCTTGAACCCCGTTTTCCCTGTCTAATCATTCCTCACAATGCATCTGCTGATTAAAACTTCCCCCTAACCATCCAGATTATTGCGCCGGGTTCGCAAACCACCCTGGCGCAATTAGGTCTGCCCGAATCCTTCACGCCTGCGAAATTCCGATTCCCGACTCGCATGTTCCCGGCTGAAAAGAAGGGCGAATGGGAACCGTACAAAATTCGTGAGAAGATCGTGGTGAGGAAGGCCGCGCCCGCGACAGTCCCCGCACCCGCCACTACCACTGCGACGACTGATACCACCGCGACAACCGATGCGCCAAAGGAGGATGGTGTTGAAGTTCAACCAGATGTTGAGATGAAAGATAAACCAGATGTTGAAATGAAAGATAAATCAGATGTTGAAATGAAAGATAGCACCGAAGCAGAACAGCCAGCAGAGGACGCGAAAGCAGGAGATGCAACGCAAGACGAGAAGAAAGCGGACACCACCACCGCCACTACCACTACCAACATCGTTGAAAATGGCCAAGAGGGAACCACCGCTACCAACGCTGAGCAGCCAGAGGAGGAACAAATAATATACGAAGAAGATCCAACGTCAGACGAAGGCGCCGTCTACCCGATCCGCAACGGCGAAATCGTCGAGTGGTCGTGTTTCTTCGCCCTCCTATCCCACATCTTCAAGACCCTCAGTCCGCCCTTTCACACCCCCATCATGTTTATCGCGCAGCCGGTATGGACCGCGCGGGATCGCGAGGCAATCACTCAGTTCGTCTTTGAGAAATTCCAAACGCCCGCGTTCTGTCTGATGGACTCTGCCTTGGCCGTTTGCTACGCGTACGGCACCGCAAACGCCACGGTGATTGACATCGGTCATGGCAAGGCGGACGTCACTGCCGTGACGGATTTCAGTGTCAACGAGCATGGCAGGGGATTGGCGCTGGCGAACTGCGGCGGCGAGGCGATGACGGACCGGCTGGAAGAGTTGCTGGGTCCCAAGGGTTTAACGCGCGATATGTGCGAGCAACTAAAGAGGAGCAATATCTGCGAAATCCTCCCTGCGAATATTCCACTTCCGGGAAGTTCGGAGACGGCGTCACAAATACCGAATTCGTCGGATGTGCTTGGTGCAGCGGGCCCCTCGAAGCCTGTCCCGGGGCTTGCGGGCAAGGGAGCTGAGGCGGCGAATGTGATGGGGGAGGACAATGATGATGAAGGCGTTCTTGACGTGGCAGCTATCGTTAGTAGTGGTAATACGAGCGAATATCTTGCCCGGAGAGAACGGGAGAAAGCCGAGCGGACGTCTGCGAAGAAGGGAGCTACGGATGCTGCTACGGGAAAACCAATTCGGTTACCCAACTACAAAAAGGAGCTGGCGACGTTCCAGTATCATGAGTTTGTTAAAGTTGAGCCTAAGGATGTGAACGCACAGAGCACTACTGCCCAGTATATTCGGCAGAGGCGCGATATCGAGGTTGGGATTGAACGATTCCTCGCACTAACCCCCAGCGAGACGAAGTCCAAGGACCAGTGCAGCTACGGCATTCTCGACACACTCGCCGCCCAAATCCACCATACCATCCTTTCAGTCCCCGATGCGCCCAAGCGCAGCGAATTATGGGACTCCTTCATCATCCTTGGAAACGGCAGCAAAATAAAAGGTGTGTCCCCCCCCCCTGTGGATTCTCCAAACACAAAAAATTCAAAAATAAAAACAAAGCTAACGGCATATACAAAACAACACAGGCTTCCCCCAAGCCCTCCTCGCAACCATAACCCAAAAATACGTCCTCTCCCCTTCGTCCGGAACAATCTTCACCTCCGAATTGCCCTCGCAAATGTCCACACCACTCCCAACCGGCGGCACAAACACGCCAGCCCACCTCCAGAACCCAGGCCCCCTCCACCATCCAGCAGCCCACGGCGTAAACCCCCTTCTCGTCGCCGCCACCCACGCCAACAACCCTTCAACCCCCAACCACCTCAATCCCCATGACCCCCACGGCACGAACTCCCCAGCAGCTGCAGCTGCCGCTCACCACCACCAACAGCACCACCGCTCAACCGGCCACTCACAAACACCTACCTCCATCCGCCTCCTCAAGCCTCCCGAATACTTCCCAGAATGGAAGAACCAAGGCATCAGCGGCTCATCCAGCGCAATCGGCGTGGGCGGCTTGCAGGTATCCTCATCAGCAGCTGCAGCTAGTGCGACAGCTGGGGGTGCCGGGGGCGCGGGAGCGGGAGCGGGAGCGGGAACGTCGCTGCTTCCGGGGCTAGGTGGCTCGGGCGGGCAGAATGTGGGGATGGAGGAGGCGACGTTTTTGGGGGCGCAGGTTGCGGCGAAGGTTGTGTTTGTGATTGATCAGGGGGTTAGTAAGGGGTTTTTGAGCCGTGTGGAGTATAACGAGGCCGGGCCGGCGGGGATTCATGATTGTTCGTTGTAGGTTGTAGGGTGCGTGGGTGGGTTCGTTTTCCTATATGTATTATTGTAACCACGATGATCGAGCGAGTGTGGAAAAAAAAGGAATTTTTGTTGCCTTTTCTTTTCGGAAATTTACGGCGGAACCTTTTATAAATTTGGGAATGGGACTGGTGTTTTTTTGGGGGGCGTGATACATATATTCCCTCTTGTTCTTGTTTTGCTTTCTCTACCCCCCTGTTCTTCGGGTTGCTCTTCTTTTTTTTGTCGCCCTTAAAATGTATCAAGCTAGATATCTACCTACGCAGTACATCTTTTACTACACCAATTGAGATCGACTGATTCTAAACTAGTTCGTTCACTGATACATCATATCATCCGTCACTCATGCCATCTATCGTGCGAAGTGGGCATAAAATGTTATAATGAAAAAAAGAAAGGTATCATACATAATAAATCGTAAATGGGACTCCATGTGGGGAATGTAATAAGTTATACATAAATGTGGATATAAAACACAATATGAATCTGCCGGAAACTGATCCAAATCCAGAGATGGCTCTAACTAGAGTAGGTAGAAGTAACGTAACAAATCCTCGCCAGCTCGCACCGTTTGGACGATTTCCCCTGATTCACCACTACCCGGCCCCCTTTTCTGCGGCACGGGGCATGTATGCATGGTAGGGCTGTTTGGTTCCTAGCATGATTGCCGCGTTCCCATTCCCGTTGCTGTGTGAAGGATGGAATGGATAGTGCGTGGCAACTCAGGCTCGTAGGTAGGGTGAGCCTGGAAGAGCAGGGCTGACACCCTTCTTTGGTTGTCCCGCGGTGGCACGTTTCAAAGGGGGGAGAAACGGGTTGTGCAAATCGGAAGAATTAACATGTCCATGCACACTTAGCGTTGTATAAAGCACTCCCGGATTATTGTTGTCCGGTATGAACAACTATTATTATTATGGTCAGCTAGCTAGCAAAATCACGAGGGGAAACACGATGCGTGACCCCCTCCCCGTACCCCCCCGGAGGAGGGCATATTGTATATTTAGCTTCACACGTTACTTACCAAATAACCTCAGAGTAGGAATGCTGTAAAATCTATCGTACGCAAGCTGCGCACTCTCAACTGCCCGCATTATACTTCTCGCCCGCACAGCGGAAGAGTTCCTGCTGCTGTCGGAGCAGCTCTTCTTCCGTGAGGCCGCTCTGCTCCATCTTATTGACTTTTTTCTCGCGGGACTATTTGATATAGGTATCAGTAAAATCCTTGCTACTTTTCTTTGCCGGTAACTTAGGTTCTACATCTGATAGATAGATACTATATTGCAGCCTCCGGTCTCATATATCCATGCCAAAAGATCCAAATGAAAGAAAATGGAACTCACCTTCAGCTGCTCCCTGTGCTCCTCTGCCACCGCAAGTACGTCAGGTACATAATCTCCAAAACCCAAATCCGTTAGCGCCTTCTCGATGTGTTCGCATGCGATTGTCTTTTTCGCCTCCTTCTCGCTGATATCGTTTGCCTCGGAAGATATTAAGGTGATGAACTCGACACAGCATTCTATGAGCAGATCGCGCGCATCCTTAGCAAAGGTCTGCCCGGATGAAGTGGGAAGGATTTCGGTTATTATTTTTTGAACGGTTGCTGTTATCGGGGATTTCGAAGTTAGCTGATGTGGGGTCCTTTTATTTTGTTATAACGGTGACAAGGGGATAGATGGTTAAGAGGGTTTTTGCAGGGAGTGTAAGAAGCACTTTGCACAAGGAATGTGGGAATGCATAAGGAGCGGAATATGGCTATTTCGAAGTATAGTAGTACCTTTGGGCAAGGAAAGGTCATCATTGCCTGTTCCATTTTAGATAATAGATTAGCTTCGAGATGCACGAGAGAACAAGCGCGGTGCGGGGCTAATATCTACGTACCTCCAAACTCTCGGTCTGACATATTTATTCAACAGGCAAAATTTACTGATCCTAGTTTAGTACGTCACGGAGGGGGATCAGAGTCAAAGCAATAGATATGTATAGATGTAGATGTCTATCACCTGATGAGCTCTTGGATGGAGATGTTTTATGTCGTGGTTCCCGCGTACCATTCTGCCACATCACGTGGGAAGAAATCGTTCACCGCCTTCTACGATGACTAAGATCCACACTTGGCTTAAATTTCTCTTTTTGGAAATTTCATTTTCACTTTTTTCTTCTTTTCTTCTCACCAGACACAAAGCACAAAACAAATGGGCAACAACAGCTTCCTATTTCCCATGTCAATTGACTGGGTAATTGACTTATGGAGACAGATATTATGATATCACCTTACAGTCGATGCTCACACTAACCAAATGGTATGTAATATTCTCTTTTCTCTTGTTTCTCGTCAACTTATCATGATGAACGTTGTTGTCGCCCCTATCATACAAAACGAGCATCAAGCTCCCGTGGTGATTTACCTGTCCAAGCCAAACGGACTATCTGATCATAGTTTTCTCTCTCCCCGAGGATTCTATTCTTTGTCTCCTTTGCCCCACATGTTCTCCTGGATACAATCGGAAAGGGGAAACACTGCTAACCCCAGTGTTTAGAAGCTATAGCGTACGTCCCATGCTTAGAGACAGCTCGATGGCCGGAGATGCAGTAGTACACAATGCCATGCCCAGTCCATCATTTGAACCATGAAACCAGCGGTGATTGTATGTTTTGATCGTGGATTTTAACAGCGTTTTGGCCTCGCCTTGGTCGTGTGCGTGACCTAACAATCATGATGAGCGAATACTTTTGTACTATCAAATACCGATCTTCAATGACGAATCCTTTACGATTCTCTGATACACGCACACGACTTACCTGTATCCAGGATGATTTAGCAGGCTACAATGGATCCTTCAGAGCAAGCTGATGAACATCTTGCTAATGCTAGAGTTCGCTTATGTTTAGGAATATCAGACTCGTGTAAAAAAATCTTGAGATATATTCATTCGTAGGTATGTTGGATAATTCCACTTCTGGTCTTTCCATGTTGTTTCCCCCGTTTATGTATATCCCCACGTCTTGAACACGAGACAAATGATTAAAACATACACTCCATGCTAAATATAAAGGTGCCATTCTTGGCATCTAATGCTTAAATACATGTGTCCATTTTTCATCTTTCGACTGATGTCTCTTCAAATTGTTTATTCAATTGAGTTTTATTTTCGTCATTTTTGCACCGATTTATTCAAATCTTGCTGACTTGACATTTGTAGACTTTCGCGCTTTAAGTTTGCCAAATAGACGAGACCGACCAATCAACCGCCCTGTGGAAAGATGCCGATTTTGGAATATTCGATCTGCCTCCTAGCCAGCCCCAGCTTAATAAGTTACTCCCTGGTTTAAGATATATCGCACTTACACCAACACGTTTTACTCAGATCATACACGTGCTTTGCATTAACGGTTGTTTCGTTTAAACAATCCTGCTCTTCCTGATACGTCAAACATGAACTTCAATTTTGTGTTCGCCATATATGACTGTTTCTATATAGATTCCTAGTGTGTATATGGATGGAGCGTCGGTGAATTTAAGTCTACAGGTTTCGCTTCTTTTAGGTATCATGAGATGGGTGGATCATCTGTTCCACTACACTGTAGCGTATGGCTAAATAGACAAAGAATATTTGATGGCAATCGAGATGCACCGTAATTAACATCATCAAAACGACTCTTCCTGCTATCATTGTGTGAGTAGACGTACAGCTTCAGAGAAGATCGATATCTGTATTGCAATGCTCCTTCAATAGTCACCAAAGAATCTTGCAATTGTCTCACTTTTATCCCCGCCATGGTGGGCAACACCCGCCCATATTTGAAATGCCTAGCACGACCATCTCCTCCGTCGGCAATAATTGACAGCTACAGGGCGTATTTTTGTCATTCTGATGTGTTGTTTTCTTCATTAAAAATAAGTCGTTATCCTATATCCGTCAACACCCGTTGCTATCCTGTCTTTTCCCTCTATTGTTCAGCGCATGCCAACAGCTTGAATTTAATACAAGCTTTGTTCGGGCCGAAGTTTGGGCTGGGGTTTCGATAACTTGGTTGGAGAAACTCGACCGCTCGGAGTTTTTGGTCTGCTTGCTGCTTGTGTTCATGAGGGAGGGGGTGTATATATATATATACCTTAAAAGAGCGCTGTGGAGGGCTTGTTTGTTATTTATATACACTCGCTGATAGTGTACAGTTCATTCTTTCCATTTCTCTCTTTGATCTATATATTATTACAAACTAAAATAACAAAATACAAAAAATGTCCACCGTAATCATCGGCGGTGGCATCATCGGCCTCTCCACTGCATACTACCTCTCCCTCTCGCTCAACAGACACAAACACCAAATCCACATTATCGACCCAGCAGCTCACCTCTTCGACTGCGCCTCAGGTTATGCTGCCGGTTTCGTCACCCGCGACTGGTTCGCGCCCGATCAAGCCGCCCTCGGCGCCCTCTCCTTCGACCTACACGAACAGCTTGCGCGCGAGCACGGCGGCTATGAGAAATGGGGGTACATGCGCAGCACCGCGGTGGGGTTGCAGGTGCAGTATGCGGACGGGCAGAAGTCAGCGAGCGGGGATGATTGGCTGAGGCAGGGGGCTAGTCGGGCGGAAGTGGCCGTGAGGGCGGATGAGAAGAAGGAGGGGGAGCCGGATGCGGCGCCGGAGTGGTTGACGCCGCAGGAGGGGGGGAGAGCGGAGAGGATCAGTGATGTTGCGGGTGTGGCGCAGGTGTAGGTTCCCTTTTCTCCAGGTTTTGTTTCTTCTGCTTTTTCTGCTTCTGAATTGCCCGCTGGAAAATGCTAATTGTTACTGCGCATGGGTGGATATGCATTAGTGACCCGCTACGATTGTGTCAATTCCTCCTGGCAAAATGTATCGAGCGCGGCGTCCAGGTCCACAACCCTGCGCGGGCAATCGGGCTCATCAAGGACTCTTCATCCGGTTCTACTACAGGCATAACGCTTCAACACCAGTGCACGAACACCCAATCAACCATCCCTTGTACAAACCTCCTCTTTGCCGCAGGCGCATGGACCCCCCGCGCCTTCGATGCCCTCTTCCCAACATCCCCCACCCGCATCCCTGTGACTTCCCTCTCAGGCTACTCCATCCTCATCCGCTCCCCCCGCCACACCCTCTCGCATGAAAGAGACACATATGCCGGAACGGCGCATGCAGTTTTCACAACCCACCCACGCTCCTGCGGCTTTAGTCCTGAAATTTTCTCGCGCGCCGGCGGGGAGATATACCTCGCAGGCCTCAATAGCTCGGAAACCCCCCTCCCCGCGCTCGCGAGTGATGCCCATGGCATGATGGAGGCAGACAAAGTTGCGCTTGTCCGCAAGACGGCAGTGACGCTGATGGGTAAGGCTGACCCGAACGTGGCGAGCAGAGATGCAGAGGGAGATGCGAACATTGATGATTTGGAAGTCGTGCGGGAAGCGCTGTGTTTCCGCCCGTGGACGGAGAGCGGGCGGCCGATTGTGGCACGTTTGGGGGATTGGGCTCTGGGATCGGGTGATGTGTCTCCTTCTGGTGGTGTCTTTATGGCGGCGGGGCATGGGCCATGGGGTATTTCTATGTCTTTGGGAACGGGGAAGGTTATGTCAGATATGATTAGGGGAGTTAAGACGACTGCGGATGTGAGTGGGCTGGGGCTGGAGGCAGGGATGAGGCCTGCTAAGGCGAAGATATAGATTTTGCTTATGTAGAGAGAGCTATAGAGATACAGTAAAGAACCCTTGATTTCTGATAACTGCATTTGTTTTCAATATTCAGGTGTTCATTATTGAGTATTTCCATGCATTTTCCTCCCTTGATATTAGGGGGATAGAGCAGGTTAGAGGATCAATTGGAAGTTCAGTGTAGAAGCACGGGGAGGCCATGAGAATTTTGGCCCACCCCTATCCTGCTAGTTAATGTAGATGGGTGTATCACATACATTCGCATCCTAAGACTGATACTGTATCTATATTATATAGGATGTTGTTGTCGTTACAGAGAAGAACATCTGATGTTTTGAGGAAAGGAGAACTTCGGTGCTTATTAATAAATAACCCAAAACGGATAAATTACTCGCGCCGAGAAAAACATATTTATGCAAAATATTTCAGTTGAAAACCAACGTTACACATTTTGTTCTCCCATCCCAGTGTTTTATATCTGCTACAGATATCATATATCCGCTGGTGATACTGAAGGCGCTGGCAATCGTCTAAATGTCAGCCAACGAGAGCTACAATGATAGCCACCGCGCATTCCTGCAAGCCTTCATGGCTCGCTCAACAATGACATACGAGCAAGCGAAACCTGTTCTAGCTGCCATATTTTCTGCCAGAGGTACTCTCTGCGATCTATTCTCATCCATTGCTACACTTTCCCAAGGGCCTGTCCTCAGGCGTGGACGCCCGCTAAACAAATTGAACACTTCTAACCACATAAACACCTAGACCACCAAGATACCCTCCCCGAAGACATCACCCAAGCCGACTTCTCAAATTATATCGCCACAATAAACACCGCCATCTCCCCCTTCGACCTCGAAATCCGCTCCACGCGTTACCAGACAGAGCCTACCACCCGCATCTACGCCCTTGTCAACACTACCAGCGACCCCCTCACCCAACTAGCCACCACCTACAACGCAAACGAGATCGCGTTCGTCAAACGCGTCTTGGACGCCATGTTTGATACTTACAATACCCCGCGGCTGGAGGCGATGGCCGTGACCTCCATGCAGGTCGCGCAGCTGGCTAAGGTGCCTAGGGCTTCTGAAAGGAGGGAGTCCGCCGCCGCTGCTGCTGCGAATGGTGCACCCGCTGCCGGCGCGGCGCAATCGCTGGGGATACGTGAGGCGGATGATATGATGAAGAAACTCGTGGAGGAAGGATGGTTTGAGGAGAGTCGGAGGGGTTATTTCACGCTTAGTCCCCGCGCGCTTATGGAGTTGCGCGGGTGGCTGGTTGCGACGTATAATGATGAAGAGGATGATAATGGTTCGGGGGCCGGTAGGAGGACTGCTAAGATCAAGACTTGTTTGGCTTGTAAGGATATTATTACCGTGGTACGTTTTGAGAGGTTCTTTATTTTTTTAATTTTTAATTTTTTTTCTCTGTTTCCTAATCTGCGGGGCTTCATTTCTACGTCGGTAATTCCTAATCAGATTGTTTCACAGGGCCAACGATGTTCCCAGCGCCAATGTCCCGGCCGTCTCCACGACATCTGCACACAAAACTTCTTCCGCCGCCAACAAGCGGAGACATGTCCGATCTGCAAATCGCAATGGACTGGAGACCACTTTGTGGGCGAGCGGGCCATTATCGCTGCCAATAAACAGTCAACAGCACGGAGACGGAGCGGGCGCCCAGCCGAAGGAGCTAGCAGCTTAGGCGGTCAAGGTGGCGCTGATGCTGGTGAGATGGCTGATGCTGCTGGATGAGGTAGGCTCATATGTGAAACTTTTAATAATGATTGGATATATGTCGATTTTACAAGGACCTGGTAATGCAGTATGGATGAGGCGGGTTGGTCGGTAGCTTTGTGATGCCGATGCTCATCGTATCAGGGCTATAGTGCCGGGGGCGAGGAAAGGCACATTAATCTCATCCCATCAGGAACTCGAGTGCATGTCTCTCTCTTGATCACACTTGTGGAGATTCGACGAGCAAGTGCATTACACAACCAACAGCGACCATCATGATGTTTTGGATTTGGGGAGGTAGCAGGGATAGAGCCATTCTTCCAGCTGGACACTTTCATAGGTTTCCTCAAGATGTGGGGAGACCTACCGTTTTCTTGCAAGTGGCCCGCTGAGGCAGACTAGATACCGCCTAGCTGGTTCTTCCAAACAAACGATCGGTATATATTATTTCCTTGTAAAAAATATCTGAAGACAATACTCGTCGTCTCAAGTCCGAACCATTGCAAGCCCTAACATGTCCGAAACAGGGAAAAACCAACCGCAATGACTAAGCCTCGACGATGACATCATCCATCCCAGCCAGAAGCTTCACTGAACCTTATTTTAAGGTTATTTCTTTCGATTTGCTCTCCGTCAAATATTAATATGCTCTACAGCTTTTCTCATTCGTCCATATATTAGCTGTCTCTTGTTTCCCTGGTACAACATTGAACCTTCCAGTCCAAACACCAACAAATAGGCATTGTCATCGTGCCTGTCCCGCTGTCGGCCCAACTTTCCCTGAACTTTGTTTTGCTTTTGAAATTGGAAGATCCCTGCCCTCGTAACTGGTCTTTTGTCATGATGATCATGATTAGTGCTTGCGCGCTAGATACGCCCACCCTGCATTTCTTGGGCTTGGTATTTGGCCGAAACCCTGAAGCTATCATGCAATCGTCATTTGCTAGCAGCTGGAATCCCGTTTCCGCTCGGGGTACCATTCGAGCTTCGGTCCTTACCTTGTTTCCGAGATTCATTCATGAGCTGCAGAATTTCATCACCATGCTCAGGTAGGCCAAAGGGATACGATGTTGCATCACCAAAGAAGTGATCGACATTGGTGACTCCAATGAGATTATCAGTTTTTCCAGAAAATTTTGCTTTTCGTTTTACCTTCGCTCATATTTTGCTTTTCAGTATAACGCATTAGAGTTATCTCACCCCAACTTACAATTTTTAGACTCTCGAAACATCTTTAGCTAGCGATGCTCCGGCTTTTAGTCATTTCAGAGCTTTTTAATAGGGCTGATATACTTTCCCCGCAGCTTGTAAAAATTTCCGGTGGTTCTCCTAGTCTTTTTTTCTCGCGTCTAAACAGCGCTCCCTATATTCATTTTCTACCAGAAAGGTCCTTTCATTTCCCTGAATGTAGATCTCTATGTTGCTTTACATGAGCTTAGGCAGAATTCATCGCTACGCGTCATCAAAGAGATGCAGTATTAGATCTCTGTTTTTTATAATCACCTCGTTTGCTTTTGCGGGGAACCTGTGAAAAAGCAGCTCACCAGCCATGCGGATCACTGTGAGTAAACTGGAGCTTGCAGGTTCTCCCTGCTCCTTCTCAACTTCAAAAAACACCGACTAACCCCCAACAGCTTCAACTATGGAGGTCCGCGCTTCTCCTCCTGTACACTTCGACCATACTAGCGCTCCCATTTGCTGAAAGGGTCGCCAACGTCTTCGCAAAAAACCATATGTCATCCGACTCCGCAGCAAAACGCGATAGGGCGGACTGCGCTGAATTCCTCTACCTGACAAGATTCCCCGGCGTCACCTGGGACAACGATAACTGGAGGTTAACTACGACAAACCTCGACCAGGGTCACTATCAATCCCGCGGCTCCATCGCAAACGGATACATAGGCATCAACGTCGCAGCAGCGGGCCCGTTTTTCGAACTCGATGTCCCCGTTAATGGCGACGTCATCAACGGATGGCCGTTGTATTCGCGCCGGCAAACTTTCGCGACCATATCTGGCTTCTATGATCTCCAGCCGTCAACCAACGGTAGCAATTTCCCATGGATGAACCAGTACGGCGGCGAGAGCGTGATTAGCGGCGTGCCGCATTGGAGTGGATTGATTCTCGACCTGGGGAACAACCAGTATCTTGATGCTACTGTTGATGCCGCTGAGATCTCGAATTTCAAGTCCACGCTGGATATGAAAGGCGGTCTGCTGAATTGGGAGTATACTTGGTCCCCTGCTGGAAGGGAGGAATCGTTTCATATTTCGTACCAGCTTTTTGCGCATAAGTTGAATGTTAATCAGGCCGTTGTGCAAATGGCTATTACGCCTTCGGCAGATGTGGAGGCGAAAGTCGTTAATGTCATCGATGGGTACTCAGCTGTGCGGACGGAATTTGTTTCCTCGGGTGAGGATGGGCGCGCGATTTACACTTCCGTGAGCCCTGTGGGGATACCCAATGTGACGGCTCACATTTATGCCACGTTAACGGGCTCAAAGGAAGTTGACTTGGAGTCATTGAAATCAGTCCCCAATCCGCCCTATGTGCACATCAACCAATCTTCAATCGCCCAGGCCGCTGACGTTAAGTTACGCGCTGGCCAGAAAAGTATCGTCACTAAATTTGTGGGTGTTGCGTCTTCCGATGGATTTGAAAACCCTGGACAAGTGGCAAAGGACGCATCTGCAAACGCCGCAAACGCTGGGTATAATTCTCTTTTGGAGTCTCACATCGGCGAGTGGTCGACTGTTTTCCCAGACGACTCTGTCGATGATTTTAGACTTCCGGAAACTGGCTGGCTACCACTGGATAGCCACATCATCGAATCTGCTGTAACGGCCGTCACGAATCCGTTCTACCTTCTCCAGTCAACTGTGAGCGAGAACGCCCTCCAGGCTGCCAACAACGCTCCTATCCACCAGGGCAGCGTTTCTGTGGGTGGGTTGACTTCCGACTCATATGGCGGCCTAATCTTCTGGGATGCGGATATATGGATGCAGCCGGGTCTTGTTACTGCATTTCCACAAGCGGCTCAATCATTCACCAATTATCGTCTCTCCAAATATGGACAGGCCATTGGGAATGTTCACACTGCGTTTACATCGTCAAAGAATCAGACAAGGTTCTCCGAAGGTGCTGCGATCTATCCATGGACTAGTGGGCGGTTTGGGAATTGTACGGGCACAGGACCTTGCTTCGACTATCAGTACCATCTTAATGGCGACATTGGCCTCCAGATGATCAATAATTGGGTGACTACTGGCGATACCCAACATTTTAAAGAGAAGCTGTTCCCGGTCTATAATGCGATTGCGATACTATATGGTGATCTCCTGGAGAAGAACGGGACGACATGGACGCTCACTAACATGACAGACCCGGTATGTGCTTATCCTCCAAGATTCTTCTCTTCTTTGCGAGCTCCTATACTCTATAGTTGGTCTAAAAATACATCCTAACCGCGATCTAGGACGAATACGCTAATCACGTTGATGGAGGGGGGTTCACCATGCCCATGATGGCTACAACGCTGCTCTACGCAAATTCGCTGCGTCAAATATTTGGCCTCGAGCAGAATCAAACGTGGAATGAGATGGCGGAAAACGTACTTGTGTTGAGAGACCCTGGGGCAGACGTCACCCTAGAATACACGACGATGAATGGCAGCACTCTAGTGAAACAAGCGGATATTGTGCTTAATACGTTTCCGTTAAGATATACAGATGAATATTCGCCGCAAAACGCCCTGAGTGATCTGGATTATGTATGTAACGGCAAACCCGCTCCCCCGCTGTCCATCCTTTCGCCCCAATCCACGCATGGAGTTATACTCTGCTAATGCCTATCTAGTATGCTGCAAAACAATCCCCTGACGGCCCCGGCATGACCTATGCGATATTTTCCATTGTCGCCAACGAAATTTCTCCCTCTGGCTGTTCCTCCTACACATACGCCCAATACTCATATTCCCCATATATCCGGGCTCCATTCTTCCAGTTCTCTGAGCAGCTGATAGACAACTGGTCGGAAAACGGCGGCACTCACCCCGCATATCCATTCCTAACTGGAAACGGCGGCGCCAACCAAGTCGCCTTATTCGGCTATATGGGTCTGCGTCTCCTCCCAGATTTCGTCTTGCATATCGATCCCAACCTGCCTCCTCAAATCCCACATTTATCCTACCGGACGTTCTACTGGCGCGGCTGGCCCCTGAAAGCAGTCTCGAATTACACACATACGATGATCCAGCGTGCCACGGATACCCGGCCCCTCTCAACGGCTGATCAAAAGTTCGCCGACGCCCCTATCCCCGTCCATGTCGGTCCGGAATCAAACGTAACAATCTATTCGCTCCCGGGCTCCGGTCCGCTCACTATCCGCAATCGCCAAATCGGCTCCCAAGCCACTTTCCCGGGAAACATGGTGCAATGCCGACCCGTCTCATCGCCAGACGAGTACGAACCGGGCCAATTTCCCATCGCGGCCGTGGACGGCGCCGCCTCGACCAAATGGCAACCTAAGCGCGCAAACGCCACCTCCGCGCTAACCGTCTCCTTCCCCGATGAGGAAATCTCGGAACAAATCGCCGGGTTCGCCTTCGACTGGGCGCAGGCACCCCCTGAATCCTTCGCGGTCGTCCTGCACAATGCTCCACTCAGTCTCCCCGTACAACAAGAACAGGAGTCCACGCCATCGACAGCACTATCCGTCCCCTCCACTCCCGGCACACTCACAGTCGCCAACGTCCCCTCCCTCACCGTCTCAAACCCCTATGACCCAGCAACGACAGACCTGAACGTCATAGCCCGCTATATCGGAAACACGACTAACGTGACCCTGGCTCAGCCGATGCCGGCCACGCGCTTTGCGACGCTGTTGATCTGGGGCAACCAGGCGCTGGACGATGTGGATCGGAATGCGGGGAATGGGACTGGGGCGAGTGTGGCGGAGTGGTCGATCTTTAGGGCAGAGGCGGGCGCGGGTTCAGTGTTTCGGTGGCGGGTATGATACTGCGGGCGGGGAGGGGAAGTTTAAGGTGAGAGGGGTTGGGTGGTGGGGAGTAGGAGGGATTTGTATTTCTATATAGCCTGCGGGTCATATGTGCATCATGTTTTTGGTATATAATGCGTAATTGATTAATATGTAGTTATTTATTGTTTCTGTTGGTTTATATATATTGTTAATCATAATAACTAGTTAACTAATTGGGAGTTATATTATAAAATTACGCCTGATTCCTGACAGTTCGCCCCTTTCTATTGGACTGCATGTCAGTTTTGCAACATATTTATTTCGATTCAAGAAAGGAAGGCGGGAATAGAAACATAACATCCCTGAATTTAACAACTATAATTAAAGTAACCAAAAATATGGCTTCTCAGATCACACAAAAATAGAAGTACACAATTTTTACTTCCACCTCATGACCGAAAAGAAAAGAAGCAAGGAGCTATAACACAAACGTTCAAAACCACACAACCCAAGACTATCTACTTACGAGTGATCAGCATCGCTATCCATCAAGAACCGATTCAAGAACCTATTCTCCCTCAGCCCGTCATCCAAGAACCGCTTCGCAAACCCCTCATTCACATCCTTGGAAACAAACACACCAGGCTGCGTCGGCGATTGATCTCTAGCCCGAGTCGCAGCCAGAACGGCCTTCATAGCCTGATCACCACCTGGGCCCACACCGCCAACGGGCTTTCCATACAAGTAGGCGTCCTCCGCGATCCTCATTGGCCGTCCGTTGGGGTAGTACGTCGAGTCGCTGGTGACCATGTTACCGACAATGATCACGCCGTCGTAGAGGGCACCGTCGGCGCCGGAGTATGTCACGGTCACGCCCTGCTTGGGCTCGAGGACTGGGCCTACGAGTCTGATATTTACTTTCTTGTTGGCCTTCTCGAATTCCTTGCGGAGGCTTTCGGCGATTTTGACATCGTCCGCATCACCGGTGGTTAGCAGGGCTATTGTCAGACCGTCGAGTCTCTCGAGCCTCATGCCGAAGGTGCCGAGGGGGACGGTGGTTTTGTTGTGGTAGAATTTTGGGTCCGGGGTCGGGGCTTCAACGCCGATTGTTCGGGCGACGCGGCGGGCGAGGTCGTTGTTGATGCGGTTCAGTTGGATGATGACGTTCTTGCGGACGACCTCGCTTGTTAAGTGGGAGGTTTCGAAGCGTATGGCGTTGACGAGGAATTGTCGCTCCGTGGGGGTGAGGGAGTTGTAGAATAGACGAGGCTGGGACCAGACGTCGTCGAAGCTCGGGCTTCGCTCGCGCGTCAACGGGCCGTTGACCTTACGCGAGGGTGCGGTGAAGAAACCTCTGTGATGGGTCATGTTGGCCTGTAGAGGGTGTCCACCAGCGAGCGTATTGGGTGTGTAGGCCGCGGTGTTTAGATGGATGAACGCTTGACCTGTTGGGGTCGTTGGTACAATATGCTTGGGATCGATATAGGAAAAAAAAAAAAAAAAAAAAAAAAAAAAGGGATAGGGAACTTACTGGCACCGTCACGATTGTTGTTGTGGAAACGGACGCGGGGCCTGTTGATTGGGAGCTGCTCGAAGTTTGGACCGTTATTGCGATTCAGCTGTGTGTCAAGATAGGAGTAAAGACGACCCTGGAGCAAGGGATCTTCAGTGAAGTCGACGCCGCGAACGACATGGCCGGGTTGGAACTGCGGAATTACGGTTAGATATACGCTTCACCAAACAATTTGTACGTATGTATATATGTATATTCAAGGGCTGGACTTACCATAACCTGCTCAGTCTCAGCAAAGTAGTTTCTTGGGTTTTGGTTCAAGACCATTTTTCCGAGTGGGACGAAGGGAACCATGTCCTCTGGGATGATTTTTGTCGGATCCAGTAAATCGAAATCGAATTTGTTCGCATCTTCCTCATCCACCATTTGGACGCCGAGCTATACACACAAAGGGTACGAAAAGTCAGTCTTGGATTGAAGATGGTAATACGTACAGAAGAAGGAATAACAGAGGGAAAAGGCAAGGGCGGAACTTAGTATGAATAGGGGGATCTCGTACCTCCCACTCAGGGTAATTTCCGGATTCAATGGCATCCCAAAGGTCTTGTCTATGATAGTCCGGGTTTTTCCCTGCGAGAGTCTGCGCTTCTTCCCACAGCAAGCCCGCCCTTCCCTGGAGAGTCCTCCAGCGGAACTTGACGAGAGTCGACTTGCCCTGATCAGTGACAAGGCGGAATGTATGGATGCCCCACCCATCAACGTGGCGCATTGAGCGAGGAATTCCATGCCCGGACATGGTCCAGAAGAGTGTATGCATTGAGCTGGGCTGCTGGCTAAAGAAATCCCAAGCCGTGTTATGGGCAGTTGCAGCCTGGGGAATTTCATTGTCCGGGTTCGGCTTGACGGCGTGAACCAAATCGGGGAATTGGATAGCGTCCTGGATGAAGAAGACTGGAATGTTGTTTCCAACAATATCTACATTGTTACATAGTCAGAGATGCTATATTATGACGGGTTTTGATAATGCCAATATTGAGTGAGCTTACCAAAATTGCCCTCATCCGTATAGAGACGTGTCGCAAAGCCATGGACGTCCCGAGCAGAGTCAGCACTGCCTCTGCTACCGGCGACTGTGGAGAACCGCACGAACACTGGTGTCTCTTTGCCTTTGGCGTTCAAGAAGGACGCTGCTGTGAGGTTCCTCCAGTCCCTGTAGGAGGTGAATACACCATGGGCACCAACTCCTCGTGCGTGGACAGCGCGCTCAGGAACCTACATAAAATCACATTAGCCGACTAAAATTGGTAATATATATATATATATATATATATTAATTGAAAGAAACATACCCGCTCATGATCAAAGTGTTGAATCTTCTGACGGAAGATAAAATCCTCAAGGAGCACTGAGCCTCTGATTCCAGCCTTCAAACTCTGTTGATCTTCAATTGGACCGCCCACGTCCGTTGTCATTACCGAGTCCTTATCATCGAGATAGAATTGGCTCAAAAACTTCTCCGTGTCGTGGGAAGCTTCTTGACGGCGATCGAGGGGGCCATTCTGGGAGTCAGGCCCATCCCCTGACATATAGGGACATGCTGCGGAAACAACACTCGCCGTGGCGAATAGAAGCTTGAGAGCCCGCATTTTGGACCAAGGAAGAGTAGAAGCCGTTTCCGTTGAGCAAGTTGTTTTTCAAGATATGAAAAGGGAGATATATGTCAATATCTACACATGTACGGGTATAGATGGTATGTCTATCTAAATGTTGACAGGGCCCCAATTGACTGCGAAAACTCTGCTGTGTAGGAGTAAGAGAACGTCAAAAAAGAGATAACCCAGAAGTGGGGAGACAGGGGAAGTGACACAAGGCGGGAAAGGAGACGGGGATGCATACAGCTAGCTTTCTTTGAGAATAAAAAAAAACAAGGTGCAAGTTCATAATCAAAAAAAAAAAAAAAAAAGGCCGGAACCCTAGGCCCTGAGCCGCTATACATACCCGCATCTGGTCTGCAGCAGCACAAGATACCTGCATGATTAGCTGGTTCGGCACAAGGAAACAGGAACAGGAAAAATGGTGCGTCATTGGAATTTTAGATATAGTAGCAGAGATTGGACTGAGAGGCCATCCATTGGGACGGAATAGCTTCAGCTGGCTGGCCTAAGGATATTTCTGTTAATATAGAAGTTACTAGAGGATTGAGGAATGTGGATCAAGGGACAAGGGCGGCAAAGAGTTCAAGAGATATGTAGTACAGGTGTAACTAGTAACTTACTTTGTACATGTCTTTTCTCCTGATTCCTTTGTAGGCAATAACAAAATCACAGTGATCCTCTTCTTGCTGAGCATTTGCTGAATCCTGTTCGACACAGCAGCTCTGTACTGTACTGTACACAGCGAACTAGCTATTGTGTGGGTATGAGCAATAATGAGCACGATCGATCATATTGAGGGAAGCTACTCCGTAACTAACTACGGAGTACAGTGTCAGATATTAAAAGTTTGAACCCGCCACGCCTGGGATGCCAAGAATATCTCACTAACCCAAACCCAGTTATGTCGGAATGCTGCTTTTATCATACTATTTAGTTACCCCTTTTTTACATCCGCTCATTTACAGTAGCGTAGCTACAAAAAGAGCTTTAATAGAGGCAGCTAAGGAGGCATGGAATGCTATTGATGATAGTATTCTATATAATCTTTCTGCTACAATGCCTCATCTAGTGAAGGTAGTTATAGAGGTAGCAGGATGGTATATAAAATATTAATTATAAGATCTTTGCAAAAAGCAGCATATAGAGGTTAGTGTAATCTCGGCGGCCAGGGGGGGGGGGTTTCAAACTTAATACCCCCCCACTGTACTCCGTAGCTAGTCAAGGGAGAGAGAGAGAGCTTCAAGCCTGCAGCGACAAATCTCGGCATTGGCTGCCGATCAGGAGCTGGATCAGCGCCAGCGAAGTCGAGCCAAGCGGTGAATCACGCTGGATTCGGGCTGAAAATAGTGAAAAGATGCATCCGGCGCCACAGGCGTGAAAGGATATGAAAGGATACGGGGCACTTGGCGGGACGGGGGAAACCTATAACATCCCAAGGTTCTGCGAGGAACGGCGAGAAAAAACGAAAGCTGGTCAGAGCCAAGCGCGAATCAGCTCGCCGCAAATCCCTAGCGCATTATTTTCTATTCCATTGGGACTTGAACTGAGGATGGGATGAAGACCCGGGTGCCAGCGCATGAAATATGTATTTATGTACTCTGTATAGGTTAACTGTACGGAGTATAGGTAACTTAACTTACAGATGGATCATTACCCACAACATATAGCGAGCTACCTTCGTATGGCCATATTCTCTCAAGGAAAAAAAAAAAAAAAAAAAAAAAAAAAAAAAAAAAAAAAAAATCCCTTGGCGAGCAAGGTGGCCAGGATGGAGAGGGGACCGCCGGGTGCACACATGTACACAGTACGGTGTTGGACTAGATCAGATTGGCAACTAATTATTGAGAATTCGCGCAGACAAATTGACAATAATAATAGCTCCAGCGTAACTCACTCCACCGTGCAGGATGCAATGCACGGAGCGCTGCAGATCACGGCAACAGGAACAGGAGTTACAGATGTATGTACAGTACATGTACTCTTCATCTCTAATATGCAGCTCTGCTGATAAAAAAGGGTGAGCTGGCAGGGATATTCTCAGCATGGTCATGGTCATTGATTAATTCCCCTCCCCGTCAATGATGTCAATTGAGGTGATCTAGAATTGGACGAATGATGCTAGCATTCCCACGCCTGGGGATATAACTACGGAGTACACTAATCTATCCGCATGCCATAAGAAATTTATAGGTGTAACTATTTTGAATAGCGAGTGCCGCAATCGTTATTTAGACTAACTTCAAATGCCAGCAGGTTTCAAGACAGAAGAGGTAACTAGTTATTATTATACCTCTTATTATTCTCCTATTTCAGTCAGAGACTATGCACGAGACCACCTCCCAGCACCTTAGTCCGGGGGCAGAATTTATTTCCAGCCACTCATCTGGCTACCCTGTCTGAGGTGTATGCAGATCTCAAGCAGTCTTTACTACAGCGTAATGACATGATTTTGTTGTGTACATGCATCATTGGTCAGGGGAAATCCTTCTCTACTCTCAATTTGAAGTCTATGATTCTTTGACATCTCTACACAGTGTAAGTGAGACTGTCCAATACAAAGACAACATTCTGCCTATCATATATATAGTGGACACCATTTCCTTCTAATCTACGGAGTACGGAGTACGCTGCGTATTAATATTGATTAACCCTCTGTAGCCAAGAACTGGCCCCAGATTGTAGATGTAACCAATAGATTATGAAACTAGTTATGACAAGTCGGGCGGATGGCAGTAGTCTGTGTGTGGCAGGAAGCCCCAAATTTATTTATATCTTTTATATCCTTTTGAGTTCTTCGCCATCCAATGCATCTAAACTGTGTTCTGGGAAGTCGTTCACCTGACTGGGGGATGTTTCCCATATTTTGCAGATGCTTGCGCCCTGAACTAAGTGACATAACTCTGCCCAGCGGTGTCCGGGATATTCCAGGAAAGGAAATGTCATTTCCGCCCCGTGAGGATGGGTGTGTTTTGAAAGTAGAATTCTAGCTTTACAGGCTTTTGATAGACCTCAAGTTCAATCGGGGGTAAATCTAAATTTGCCAAAATACAAGCAGCTCTGTAGGTTTTAGTCGGCGTGAATGGTCGGGATGGAGCGGAATTAGGGTTAGGGTTTGGCGGGACCAAGCCCTAAGTCGGGCCGCATCCGGCATGGAAACTCTCTGTCTTGTAATAATTACTCAGCTTAACACTTTAGTCTATAAAATGAGGACGGAATCCGTAGTGTACGTAGCGTAGTTCATCGTAATACTTCACCGCAAGTACATGTGTAGACCGGGCTGGATATCACGGTGATCCCGTTATTTAGACGTGCAACTTTGAGAGCTGCTCGTGGGCTATAGTTAGCTCCCTAGCGAATTTTGGGTTCGGGAGCGGAGCGGAGCGGGAAGGGACGGGGCGGGGCGGAGAGTTAGAACATTCCCCACAGCATCCAAGAATCGGGAGCTGTTGCAGCGGAATCTTGATGTAAAGTTGCGTGCCCCGCAAACAACATCTCCGCCGTTGAGAGGCAAGGGAGATATTTCTCTTATTTTAGAATCCTTCTTGGGATTCCTTCTTGGCTATTGTCAACAGTCCAACTACAGACATAACCCAAAGCTAGCATGGTAGCTATATACGGCCGAGCCTTTCGAAGCTCCCGTGGGGACTGGCTGACTTAGCGCCCAAAAATACACGACACCGCAGCCATAACTGCTTGGGCAACCTATTGGCCATTTACATATATATGTACACGACAACGCGCGCTTAACTACCATGCTTATGCCGTAGTTTCCAAATCTCTAATCACAGAGTTAACGGTCTTAGCGCTAGACCACCACCCCAAGGTTTGCCAGCCAACATCATCAGCATCAAATCCAACGGCATCGCCTCTTCAAATCTGTATCATCCATGTCATATTTGATTTTACTGCATTTGTATCAATGCTTCCCCCGCTTTTACGTTTCCTACCCCGGTTCGGAGGATGGAAGCCTCTAAGCTTTGCCAATTCGAACTTCCCCGGATACCACTAGCTCAAAAAATTGAAGAAGAGACAATCCCAGATTATGTCGCTACGCGGTACTCCCGCTCGTATTGGGGAGGTCTTCAATGCGAGATACCAAGTCATTGGTAAACTTGGATACGGAGCAACTTCGACGGTGTGGCTTGCGCGGGACATGAAGTAAGACCCTCCAGTCTCCAATAACATTGTGTTAGATGCCTGAACTAAAACCATCTTCAGCTGCTGTAATTATGTTACCCTCAAGATATTCATTACATCTACATCTATAGGCCAGCAATTAGATGGCGAGCTCAATATGTACAAATGTCTGGAGCGAGGCTCAAAATCTCATCCTGGTCGCAAAGCTGTGGGGATGCTTCTCGACTCTTTTGATGTTAATGGGCCCACGGATAAACATAAATGCCTTGTACATCCTCCCCTATGGGAGAGTGTCTTGACCTTTCTTCGCCGCAACCCAATTCACAGACTACCAGTTCCAGTCATGGCTGCCGTACTAAAGTATCTCCTTTTAGCTCTAGACTCTTTGCATTCTAAATGCAAGATTATCCACTATGACATCAAATCCGACAACATCATGCTCGGCATTGCTGATGATTCGGTTTTCGCCCATTTTGAGGAAAGCGAGCTTCAAACACCCAGTCCGCGGAAAGAACTAGATGATGGTCGCATCATCTGCGAGTCCCGCCAACTCAGAATGCCAAAGAACTTTGCCCCCCCAGTGTTATGCGATTTTGGCTTAGCCATGCCTGGAGATATTGACGAGCATTTGGAAGATATCCAACCAAACTTCTATCGAGCACCAGAGGTGATCCTCCAGATTCCATGGTCATACAGCGTTGATATATGGAACGCAGGCTGTGTGGCATGGGATATGTTCGAAGGCGAGTTTCTTTTTACTGGACATGATCCGGAACTCCAGATCTACCGAAGTAGAGCACATCTTGCTGAGATGATCGCCCTTCTTGGGCCGACACCGCCTAGCCTCCTTGCTCAGGGTAGGCTGACAAGCAAATTCTTTTCAGAGAAAGGTAGGCAAACTGCTTTTCTGCCCTCCCCTTTTCATTCCTACTTACATCCCCTTTCACCCTTCTCAACTTTTCTCTGTTCTGTCTAACTTATTTAGGTGAATTTTGCGCCGGAATCCCTTTGCAACATCCAGTTTCACTCGAGGAGAGAGAAACCACCCTCAAGGAACAACCGGAGGACAGGGAGAAGTTTCTGTGTCTGATGCGGAAAATGGTGCAGTGGGAACCAGGCAAGCGAAGCTCTGCGGAGGAACTTGTTCAAGATGAATGGATCCATGCGCATTCATGAAAAGGAAAATGCCGACCTTGGTTCAGCTCTTGTACCTAATAAATCACAAATCCGAGCCTTGAGAACCCGTGACTTGGACATGTACACGAGAGAGTACATGCGTGATTGAAACTAGGCACTATCTATTTTACTCGTTTAGTCCTTGCTGTATCTTCGAAGGTATTTGGTGTGGACCAGCCACGAGGCTCCGTACTTTGTGTTGGGCGAAGATACAGCCCCCCGATAACTGAGTATGGGGATGTTTTCTCTTCATTTGTTCCTTGAGGTCTACTGGTTTATTCAGTGAGGGTTCAAGAGGTGAGAAAACCCCAAGTGATGTGGAAATGCCAGCTCATATCTGATTTTGAATTTAAGATCCAGTCACATAGTCTGATGGTGCCAGTACCGTTCTCATAGATGTGATGGGCTGGAGCCGGCCCATTGGTGCTTGATCCGAGCGCTGATAATCAGCTCTTTATCATTAGGGTGGTATTGAGATGGATGGACAGGGCTACTACCGTCGTTGCGGTGCCTACATGTAAACAGATGTAAGTAGCACGTCCTAGTAGGCTAGGCAAAGGAAAGAGAGGAGGAGTGCTAACAAAATCTCGATAGATTCGATTTCGCCGACTTTCTAAGAGAGGTTTAGAGTACAGAATTTCAGTAGTGTTTCAGAATGTTGTGTAAGTTACCTTCACAGCACCATTGACCGAATAAGATCTAGTGCCTGCTGGAACTCCGGCGTGAGAAGCTCCTTATCATAGCCCAACCATCTGACAAGGGTCCGAGCAGTCGAAGAGAAAGCACGGGCCATGGTTGTTCCTTGGTATAATAGAGAACTTGATAGTCGAGATAAGAAGCAGAAGGATTTTATGTGGAATCGAAGCTAACAATGCAGAGAGCCATCAGATCTTGTCCTGGAAGGATCACAAGCAGTTTATAACTGCGAGGTTTGCTTCCGTCACTATCTCATAGATTCATTTTGTCCTTGGCATGTCTCAGTTGCCGCCGACGGCTAATTACTCGCTCGATCACTCTGATCTATCTATGTTTAGAAATCAGAACGGTTGATTCTCAAGGTAGGTTTTGATTCGTGATAGTCACTAGTGTTGCCAGTAGCTAAATGGTAGGTGGCTACATTCTCGAGCGTCACATCTTGGGTTTCATACTCCATAGTATGGAGGGAGTGATGGCAGTCGGAACTCATTCATGATCCAACCAACTGGTGTCCAAAAGCTGTTTATGGAACAGTGCTCCCCTGTACTAGTACTTGGGCTTACTGTTTCCCTAGAAGGCGCGGCGTGACCCTCCCCCCTTTGTACTGTACATCCTAAGCCATTTACTCACAACCCATGTACAGTACATTACAGATACTTCTTTGGGAGAAAAAGGCTTCTTCTCTTCTCGATGAACCCTTTCTGTACTTTAGGCGTTATAATTTCAGTTTTAAGCATGGGGGAATGTTCTACAAGCTTCATTATTGCTAAATTTGTCATATCCTTCGTCACTTCGCAGCAGATCTCGCATACCCTTCCTGCTTCTCATTTCTCTCCTGGATATATTTCAAGAGCCCCTCAGGTATCTGCGCATCATCTGTCAACCCGCTCGGCACCGGCGCGCCCAAGTGTTCATACAACGGGACCACCCCAGTCCACACAAGCTCCTGCCGATCTGGTCCATCCTTCGCTCGATCTCGCGACTGAATCATGGGAATCCCGCTCTGGTGTTTCATCGAGCCCCGCTGGACCTGGACGCGTATCACAAATACCAATGACAGCGCGAAGGAGGCGAGGGGGTTGAGGTCTTCCCAGCGCCCGGCTACGATGTGGTCCATCACACCGCGCATGACATCTTCTTTCGCACGGCGGTCTCCGACATGCGAACATGCGCCATGCACCACGGCGGAACGGTAGTTGAACGTATGCCCGTTTGGAGCTGAGGAGAGGGAAAGCCCGTCCACTAGATTTTCGCTCGTTAGCGATATATAAGCATTTTGGAGTCGGGATTGGGTAGATATCCAACCTTTCGTTGTCGTAATGCAAACTTTTATCCGATCATCTCCACTTTCATCTGGTATTTCTCCCCGCTCGATCCTAGCCTTCCTCTTCACCTCATTCGCGCGCACGAGCTCCATAAGCCTTGAGCTCGGGTGGCCATGTAGGTAGACTGCCTCCCCTTCCTCCTCGCACCGAAACAGCGCGATCATGGGTAGACATTGCGGCAGGCCATGGTCGACGTACGAGACATGCGCCATAAAAGTGTCCGAGAAAACGGAGCCGATGGACTCGGCATCATACCTGCCTCGTTCTTTGTGTCGGCGTAGTTCAGCGGGCTGCATGGCGGTTGGTTGATGATGCGATAGTCCACCCGTGCGTTAACAAATTGTTTAATCATAACCTGGAAGCGAACTGCATCGCTATTTAACATCCGCTTTTGACACCCCAGGCTCTCTCTCGTATTGAGATGTTTGGAACTTGGATCGATGGTGCAGCGATTAGCTCGGAGTTAAATAGGGGGTAGGATATGTACATGTAACGTTACTGAATACGTAGATGATACTTAGACATTAATCCTTACGGGGAGTATAGTTGAGCATGATTAAAAATTTCTCTCATCACTTAAGAAAGTGCGTTTATAGTGATACACAGGTTTAATATACAGCACTCACATTCACTATTCTTATACACAAAAAGTAAAAAGTAGAAGGAGGTTCTACAGAGTACAGACACTGCAACTGAATATCTCATAGTTCAAATCGATGTTGTCATGTATTGAGTGTTTTATTAGGCTGTGAAATTATGCCATTGATACTCTGCTGATACATCTTTTATGTCTAACCATGCTCAACTAGTTAACTTGTAAGTTAACTCAAATCTCTAGTTTCATTCATGACTAGACAAATTCATCTCCAATGTGATTATAAATGTGGCACCTCAACATTTGTAAGCTTTGGCAACTTTCTTCTCCATGAGTGAATATTAAGTATTAAGACTATTATCTTTGCCAGAGTAGCTCATCTTTTTTGCACCCTAACTAGCTATGGACGGACAAAAACACACAGTATTACATTACATCTCAAAATCAACAAACATTACAGTGGCTTGCCCGAAGAAACATCAATGCAGCAGCACCTATGCGGCACGAGAACAACAGGTGATTTATTCAAAGTGTTGAAACATTGACAAGGTTTGCAGTGCTGAAGGCAAACAGGAAAGATGCCCGGAGCAGGATCAGCCACGAAATAAAAAATGTCAGCATTTGATTGCCCGGAGCCTCCGTAGAACAAGAAGAATGGCGTACTACGGGCCATAAAATGGTATAAGGGCATGAGGCCGATACGGCTTAAAATTTTCAATTTTGAACAACTTGCAGTCTTTGGACTGTGGCCGCTCTTCCATAACGCGATAATGACGGTTTCCCACAGGGCATGGGGGAGCTTCTTCCAGGCCTTCCCGAAATTCAATAAAAATTCTGGACACGGCGTTCAATGTGACACCCTTGTACGGTGGCTGGGGAGGACATAGAAGTTGATATTTCTCCAAAAGCCTTGTGAAGTAACCGAGGACAAATTCCTGGGCCGTACAAGTGCGGTTTTGGCATTCAGAACTACCGACGTAGGCCTTATAATCCTTATGGATAGAATTTAGCCACGACTGGAGATAAAAGTCACGTTCACATCTAATCTCATCTGCTTCGATATTAGCTATGGAAATAAATTTCGCCTACTATAACAGAGGCTCGGGAGGGATACGGTGGCAACAAAACCTCCATACTGACCGAGAACAGACCGAAAGCCTTCAGGGGCATCTTCCAAATCAATCCCGGTACTAGTCCACATGAGGTGCGAAGCTACCATTGTGAAATGAAAGTGCTCATCAAACACGAACATAATGTAAAGCCAGTCCAAGGCACTCTCCTCGTCGGCCATGGCGTAAGTTATGTAGAAAGAATTATTGATCCAAAGCTCCAGAAAAGGGCCCAAAGAATCCTGCATTTCATAGCAGTCAACCAAGCGTGCAATATCTAGCAGGTGCATGCGTGGTAGTCGTTCCGGGATGCACCTCATCTGAAGATGAATGATTCTAAGCAGTATCTCTATGGCATCTGTGGTAAAAGCGATGCCTATTTCGAGGGTAGTAGCTGGTCGCTGAGATTCATTGCATATGAGCAGATTTTGGAAGACCTTAGAAGCCAAGCAGAGAACATTTGATGACACTTTGAAGAGGCATGTATCAGGACAGTTTGAAACGAGAATCAGATCGCCCCTGGGGTCGATAGTACGCTGATGTGCGCCGTCTGGTAATTCAGGGAGCCAACGCGCTTCTGTCTCCTCACTCTTGGGAGATGCCATGGCGAAATCCTTCAATAGCGAAAGTTGACTGGGAAGAGAAGTCCATCCACCATAGAGGCTGTGATTCTATGGGATGGGAGAATTCAGAAGGAAGATAACACAAGTACAGTACATAAACAGAAAGAAATACAACTTCATTCAAATGTGCAAAGTAGAATGTAGCAAAATAACACAGACATAAAGAATGAATAACACATTCTTCAATACTACAGAGAAAATCTTCACTTAACTGCATTGTCTGATGGAATTGAAAACTGGAATAGAGCAGAAAATTTCTATTTACAGGTGAACTTATTAAGGAAAATTATTTATATGAATTATTTTTAATGGTAAAAAATTACTGAAACTATAAATGATGAAAATGAAGAATAATAAATATCTATAGAGAAAGAATATAATTGTATTTATTCTTCTAATATACAATAGAAAGTTACAATAACAGTGACTAAGCAGAAAAAGTGTTTACAGAGACAGAAGAATCATCACAGAAATTTCTACTACAATATAATTATATCTCAGATTTATTAAATTTAAAAAATGAAATTAAAGTATTTAATAATAATACAGAATTATTTAGTATAATAAAAGCTTTTAAATTAATTGAGATAAAATTTTATAATAAAGCTGTTCTGAAAAATGTTGTTATGAAAAAAAAAAAAAAAAAAAAAAAAAAAAAAAAAAAAAAAAAAAAAACAGTTAAAGTTTATTAATGTGACATGCAATGCATGAAAAGATGAATGATTGGAATCAACTTCTTCTGATATTAGATGTGTGGGTCACATGATTGATCATGTGATGATGCTCTACAGTGTAAGTCTCAATGAATGGCCTTACTGTGTAGTTACACTTATTACACTAAGGGCCTGTTCGGTGTGTCCGTGTGTACTTGTTCTTTTTGTACAGATCTCCACTTTTTTTAAAAAGTACAGCCTCAATATCATGACTGTTCAGTGGACAGAGCATCTGTACTAATAATACAGCTGCTTTTTACAAGTACAGATGAAAATGACCAGATGTTTGATGAATTGAGCGGCTGTACTTGCATCTCTTGCCAAGATCTTATGAATAAGCAGTATTTAACTTCAACAGTGTATGATAGTGTAGAATAGCACTTTTAGAGATAATATAGTGAGAATAGTGTTCATAGTGAAGATAGTTAACTAATATTGGTTAGAAGGAAGCTCACAAAAACACATTCTTTTTGAACTGACTCTGGACTCTGTTCAAAAAGAACATGTTTTTGTGAGCTTCCTTTCTCCATCCCAGAGCAGTGGGCAAGGTGGAATAGTGTGGTGACACAACACCGGCTTGCTACTAATAATTGGTAAATACACTATTTTTAATGAGATCCACTATTGCGTTCAAAAAGTACGGACGCACCGAACAGGCCCTAAAATAACAATTAACAATAGCTAACTTAGCGGCAGCTAAAGATACATCCATGGATACCTAAGGGTGGTGCGGGTCTCGTGGGATAGGGGCTGGAGCCCAGGACCTCGCCACCTTGCTAAAGTAATTCAACAACTGGATTGGAAATTCTTCAAGCGCCACAAACCATCAATCGTCACTCCTCTTATCTCAGAGAATTATGTAACAACCGTCCTTCCTGCAACGAGGTTACGAGGATGGCGTTCGCCCTGTGTCTGAACCCTCACCGTGGTAAGTTGTCCCCTTGCACTGCCGCACAAATTTGGTATGATTATTGGTGGCAGTGGGACAACGATCCACGCATCCTGCCGTGATAAACATGATCGATCCATGAAGCCGCGAGCTTGGATACGAACTTTCACCAGCGAATCGGACCTTACCCACAAGCAATTAGATGATTTGTTTGCCGGTCGATTCCCTACTAGCTGTGCAGATGAAGTCATCCATCTTACCGACCTCCCTCAGCGTGACTTTTCATAAGATTGTTGACACATTTGATACCTCGAAAAATGAGTTATGTTCTTTCCATCCTCTTTCTTTGTTAGGGGCCATATTCGCCCTTCAAGCTTTCTCACCTGATCATACCAGGGACGACCGGCGGCGCCATCGGGCCACCTTTTCTTTGACAGAAAATTTTCGAAAACATCTGTCCACCGCGCGGCATCATCCCTTCATGAGAGTGCTGTTCACCATGTTCTAAAAGCCACTTGGCGTGTGATTGAATCCAGGGTACCAGACCATGTCAAGCTGTTTGAGATTCAGACCAATGCACCTGACAGCCAGCCAGCGGAGTTTACCACAAAAGTGCTAGATATCATGATCTCATATGCTCCAACTGCTAAAAGTCACAAGCCCTTTCTCTGTAGCTGAAGTAGGGTTTTCTGAGAGCTAGAACAATTTGGCAAAAACAATGAGATTCTGGCTTGACAGATATGAAGGAATTAATATCGCGTTCCTAGTCAAGTTCCAAGAATCCCCAGAGTATAGGGGGAAGAAGTGCTTGGCTTCTCTTACGGACGAGGTTGTGAAAAGCTGGGGAGTACTATTATTCGAAGGATTGGGCTGGCTTTAAAGTTGATGACTGAGGCGGACTGCTTCGAGCTTACGGTGCACCAGTGGTTCACCGCATTTGTGGAAATTTGGGAAAGTTGGTGTCCAGGGAGAACGCCTTGTAAGTGGGTGGGTGGACAACTTACACTTCTGATATCCCAACCCGCCTTCATACATCACTGTAAAAAAAATCAGGCTTTCGCTTCTGATTATCTACTTACGCAATACGGTGTAGGATTTTCTGACTTGTTGGAACCCTAAATCCCCCGAACGTTGCACTCGGATTTGAAGAATTTGGTATCCCTGTGGAGGAGCTACGAGGGCAAGAAATTTACCTGAACGGGAGCCAATGGGTTAAAAGGGTGGACCGTGGCAGGATAGGGCTGGCATGGTATCGTTTTGTCACCCTTCTGTCTGCTTGGCTAGTCAAATCATAGGGAAAGAGGGAGGAGGAAAAGTAAAAAATCACCAACGGCTGAACATGTCCCATGTCTCATTGTAAAACATCGCGAAAAAGGATTTACTACGGAGTACTTTTCATCCAGTTGTGCTGGGGCGTGGAACTACTTCTTTTCGATCCTGTCACTGGCTGTCAGACATCCATACCAGAAGATCGTAGGGTTAATTTATGGTGATTCCACCATTCTGGATTTTGATGACACATAGTGACATGCTGGTAAATATTAAAATAGTATTGAAATGACTTTGAACTTTTTAACATTATCAGAGTAACTGCTCAGTAATTAGAATTAACAGATATTATTATCAAGATACTACTAAGATACTGTAAATTATAATATACTGCTCTATAATGAAATTAATATATATACTATTAAACTAAACTGACTATTCTATATATATAATGAATCATGTACTAATTATTTACAAAAATAAAATATTTGAAATTTATATATTAAATAATACTATTTTTTTAATTAAAATTATTAATAATTTAATAATAGTATTAGTATTGAATTTTTTTTAATAAAATTAATAAATTCAGTAAATAATCAGATAATATATAATATAAAAAAAATAAATATAAAAAAAATTTCCTTAATTTCTTTTATCTTGTAAATAAATATAATTATAATTTAATTAAGTTTAACTTTAAATATTCTCACTGCTTTTATTACAGTTTTAATAATAAAACTATAATAGTAGACTATGAGTGATAAGTAGACTGACTGTATGACCATGTCTGAGATCAGAATTAAACTTTACAGTTATTATATTATCTAAAAGTATTACTTCTGATTATAATTTATATTCATTACATTGATTTCAAATTATATTATTTTAAATATTAAAGATCTCAGATTCACTTTTCAAATAAAAATCTAGTCTCAGATAAAGAATATATTTAAATTCTTAGTTATGTTTTCATTCTGATCTTATTATATTATAATATATTAAAGAGACTCTGTAAGAAAGTAGAATAATAATGATTTTAAGTAACACTTCTAATAGATTTAGACTGAACTAAGTATAGAAATAATATGAATGACACTGTCTATAAGAGATTGAAGAAGAAGATAGTAAAGAGTTTTATATAATAGTAATAAAATCAGAAGAAGTTCTGAGAATGATTTAAAATTAAGATAAAGAGAGAGAGAGAGAAGAAGAGTATTACTGTAAATAAGTAGTGATAAAAGAAGATTAAGAGAGTATTGAAGTGAGAAATAAAGAAGTTAAAACTAATAAGTTTTTTATTTATTAAGAGATAATGATTTTTAATAATACTTTTGTTCTCTAATTGATTAGTAGAAGCTGATAGAGAAGAAGAGAATTAAGATCTTATTCAGATCTTGAATACATTTCATAATTCAGAATATTGAGAAGATAGCTCTACTCTCTGAGTATATTAATCTGCTTACTACTGAGATGAAACTCAAGATAACAGATCAGAAAATGCAGGATTTTAAGATATAGATTAATCTAGCTAAGAGAAAGCAGTGAGAACTCTTCTCTAAGAAGATAGTGAAGAGAGATTTTAAGATAATTATTATCTTAAATGAGAAGAAGAATAAGAAGAAGAAGAATAAGAAGTAAATTATAAAGAATAATAAGAAGAATAAGAAAGAGAAGAAAGATAGTGAATAGAAAAAGTTTTTTTCTTTTTATATTAATTAGTTATAAGTTTATAATTATTAATAATTGAAATTAATTTTAAGTTTTTAAAAATTATTGTACAAGTTGTAATCAAGTCAGAAATAATATATATATATATATATATTTAACTATCATAATTCATAAATCACTATAATATATAAGTATTAACATTTTTTCAACATTGATATTTATAATATTAATATATTTTTAATAATATTATCTAATAATAGAATTTGATAACACTCTCTTTTATAATATTAATATATTTTAAGAAATATAATAGAGATTAATCAAGATTATTTATTTATTTTTATATATTAATAATATTCAATCTGAGTTAGTACTAAAATTATAACTAAGTTAAGAAACAAGATTATTTACTCTTATATTAATTCTTCTTATATACATCAGTGATTAGTTATTAAAAATAAATTATTATCTTTTTTAAATTATTATTATATTTTCTGAATTCACTTCTTTCACTTCTTTTACTTCTATTAAAGATTCACAAACTCTTTAAGAAATTACTATGAATTACAAAGTCTATATTATTTACAATTCAATACAGAATACACTCTTTCAATTATAATAAAAGATTACTTCATTCTTCACATCTGATTTCAGATTATAAAATTTATGAAAAACTCAATATAAACACTGAGATAAACTATAAAATAATTATTAATAGATTATATTATAGATCATTGAAAAGTTATCTCTCTATTATAATTACTATAACTTTATTCAGAAATATTCATTATAAACTGATTATAACTCTGAAGAAATTTCTCAATATCTGAAGTCATCAGAATACAGATAATAAAAGAAAAATAATCAGAAAATTACTACTGAGTTAGTAAGTTACTCTATCAGATAATGATTTTTAATAATATTAACTTTCTAATTTTAAGAAAATTATGTGAAAATAATTATATATCAGTACTCTGATTTTATAACTCTTATTTAATAACTTCTGTAAATAATTACTTTATATATATATATATCTGAATCTTTCTCTTTAATTAATTGAAAACTCTGAATTCTGAACACTTCTTCAAATACTTAATTCAAATCTTTATATTTCATATTGATTCTGTCTTCAGTTCAATCTTAAGATATACTACAAAGTTAATATATAATATTTAGAATCAGAGTTGAAGAATTATTGAAGAGTGTCTCTTACAGTGAATAAATAAATTAGTATAAATAATCTTATATTTATAAGACTTATATTTTATTATATTAATAAGAACTGAACTTATTAAGAGATATTAATTGAATTAAAATCATTGATTAGTAGTTATACTGAGAATTATATAACAGAGATATTAATGACTGTGATTAAAAATAACTATTAAGATATTAGTCTCAGTCTTCTTATAATTATAACTGATAATACTGTGAATAACTACACTATAATAAAGAGCTTAAAGTAAAAATTGACTTTGTATTTCTGAAATAATAAATAAGATTATATACTCTGTATTACTTATATAATTCAACTTATAATATAAACACTGATAAAGAATCTTAATATTAAGATAAAGAATAATAAAATAACTGATTCTTAAGATAAGAATAAGATGAAAGTAGACTGACTGTGTGACCGTGTCTGAGATCAGAATCAAACTTTATAGTTATTATATTATCTAAAAGCATTACTTCTGATCATGATTTGTATTCATTACATTAATCTCAAATCACATTATTTTAAATATTAAAGATCTCAGATTCACTTTTTAAATAAAAATCTAGTCTTAGATAAAGAATATATTTGAATTCTTAGTTACATTTTCATTCTGATTTCATTATTAAGAATGATATTAAATAAGACTATAAAATTACTTCTCACTTACATAATATTATAATATAGTACTCATTTGTTGAAAATTTAATAGAGAGTATTATTAAATATCATTACTTTTCTGAACACAGATTATAATTCATATAATTTTAATTATGAAAAAAATATAAAATATAAAAAAAAAAAACAAAAAATAAAAAATAAAATAAAAAACAAGAAAAAATTAGAATGAACAAAAAAAAAAAAAAAAAAAAAAAAAAAAAAAAAAAAGAGAAAGAGAAAGAAAAAAAAAAGAAAAGAAAAAGAAAAAAATAAAAAATAAAAATAAAAAAAATTAAGATTGCAGAGCTGCAGTATCTTTAAAATACTCACTTCTCAGAGTCTTTATAATATTTATTATTAATTATGTATCTCTTATAGTGAGAGTAATACAGCTATAATAAGTTATTATCTTAATATTATCTAATAAATAATCAGTATATATCTGTATAAATATAAATATTTAGAAAATATAGACTTAAAAAGTGTGGTCAGAATGAACTCTGCTATTACTTGAATAATATCAAGAGCAGAACACTGAAATTAATAATTCTTCTCATTAATTTCACAGATAAGATAGATGAAGATAATCTTAAGAAATA